ATGCACATGCGTAGACTACGGATTGCTATTACGAAAGTACTAGCAATTATATTCATGCTTCCCTTCATTTATATCAGTTTCCGGAAACATTTTTATATGAATCACGAGGATGAGGGTGTTGGTGTAGATGTGAGAGAGAACAACAACACTTGGATAAATCATCTGTGTCCAAAGTATTCCATAATTAACACCGTCAACAAAACTCTCAACTGGCGGCCGCTCACCCCAAACACCATATTTCTTTACTGAAACTTCCTGTGCCCTCAAGTTCTCCCCCAAGAAGGTAAATATTGAACAAGCTTGTTTACAAGATATGTTTAATTTCTTGTAGAATAATGAGATATTGCTCAATTTTCTCCTTAAAATACAATTGTAAAAACAGTTTTGATTAAAATTGATAATTTTTTGTGTATCACCAAAATGAATTAATATACCAAGTGGGCTAATTATTATGGATGACAGATCAATTGATCTAACCGTAGGTCATGTAATTAGTGTTAGCTAATTACAATATATAATGAGAAAATTATTACACGTATATCTGATGAGTCAGTCTGCGTTTACTTGGTGGAATAATAAACATTCTGGTGAAGTAGCTTGACTAATTTACTAATTAATTGGTATACCCGGTGATTTTTATAATATACCTAATGGATTATTCCACTAAAGGAGATAACTGGTATACCCGGTGATTTTTATAATCAACCTGGATACGGGAACCTGTTTTTATTCCCTGTATACCTGGAGTACACCTGGAGAGGGTTTTGGGGGACAACGCTCCCGAAACCTGCTGGATTAATAAATTATTGGAGATAATTGATATACCCGGTGGCTTTAATCCCTGGTGAATTATCGTAACAAATCATTTTAATATTTTGTGAGCATTTGATGAATCCAATGAATTTGGGCTGACTACCTCAGTCGTGTGAAAAAAACAGGAAAACAACCATACAAAATAAACAATATATTTTTATGGTTGGTTGGTTTATTTTTATTGGGAATAAAGTCTGTCGACTACACGTGTAGAGGATCACTAAGGCTGTATATAACCTTTACAGCACTAATCAAGTATAATCTCTAAATTTGGGATTAAAGTTAACTATCAGTGTATATACACTGAGATACACCCAGTTCGGTGTATGTAAACTGAGATACAAACAGTTGGGTGTAAGTGTATTTACACAAAGAGCTGTATGTCTAGATAACTACTGTGTTTCATCTGATAATCATGGTGGGGTTACAGTATATATCATGCTGTCAAATATGTTACTAATTAATAGACAATGAATAATGTAAAATAATTATTTTTGTATGAATTAAAAATCTCTCTCAGACTTATTTGTTTACCAAAGACATCACATTTCATTTTAAGGATTATTTAATACAGTGTTCCTGAAAAATTCATAACCATTACTTCGTGAAGAAAAAATTTACATTTTCAAATATTAAAAAATGCTTTACGGCCATTTTCCTACAGTCTGATGTTTTAAGAACACGAGTGCGAAACGTGCCATGATAATTATTACACAAATATTCTATATTTTTTCATATAAATATGAAATGAATATATAAATAATTATATTACAAAAAATAGAATTTGCCAATTAGGTGCAATTTATTATATATATTATTTTAATATTTAAATAATGATAACTCCACTCCGATAAGTTCGACTTAGAAATTAAACAACAGTTTCCATTTCAATAGCTGGAGCTGTAACATTAACAACAACCTTTAACAACAATATTTTAATAGTTTATGCTAGGGTTCCTTCTAGTCGCTATTTAACTTTTTACATGATACATAATTACTGACATATAGATGAATTACTAGATATAGTGGGTTAACGAGTCTACCATAAGCTTATAACCTAACAAACCATAAGCTCATGCTAATAATGTGGAATTCCATATGGGAGCATCTTGGGTCCTCTAGGGATTCTTCTTTTGCTATGTAAATAACATTCTATTAGTTTAATTTAGTAGCTTTTCTTTGCAAGTATAGAGTGGGATGTGACGGTCGTGATGTTGCATTAATTAATCTGTAAGGAGTGGGCGCTTTACTGTTTAATGAAGAAATGATAAATAACATTTGATAACTGAATTATAACCAATGAAGGAGTTTCCAGTTTCTTCTTTCTTTACATCAGTTACCACCCACAGGCGTGTGCCGTGGAGAGCGCCGCCCATCACCATCCACACCGACCTGTCCTGCTGTTGGTGACCGCCCCTGCCATACTTCACCCACAACCACTACTTCAGGTAAGTGCTGTATCTGTTTCTTTCCTCATCCCCTTCCATTTTCTTGAACATATCAGCCGTTTCTCCACCGAACTTGAGACCAGCCTCCTGTATCTCAATACAAGAAAAAGGATAAATAATACGGATTGCAACGGTAAGTGGCCCGGTGGTAAAAGCTCTTGCTTCACACGGTGAGGTCCGGGTTCGATTCCCGGCGAAGGGGTGGAAACATCGGACGTGTTTCCTTACACCAGTTGTTCATATTCACTCATTAGAAAGATGGGTACCTGGGTGTCAGTCAGCTGGTGTGGGTCGCATCTTGGAACAAAACTGACTTAATTTGCCCGAAATACTCAGCATAACAAGCGTCTTTCTATATAGTAGTATGTTATTGATGTCAGCTATGGTCTGTATACCTTGTACATGTACTTGTAGAATATATTATTATTATTATTATTATTATTATTATTATTATTATTATTATTATTATGTGTTAAAGATTTTAGCGAATCAGAAGAGGAATTTATACTGTAAGTTATCGCACAAAAACTAGTATCCCAGTTTTTTCAATTAAAACGTTTAATGCCGATTAGAAGATGCATTTTGCTTAATAAAATTGTAAAATTAGTCTAGACAACCCAGAATCAAGGTAAAACTTTCATTTAAGAGAACACACTATAGCTAAAACCTTGAAACCAACCAGATCTGTTTTCGCACAGAATCAAACAGTTTTATGTTAATTACCTAAACAAACAATCAAACAAATTTGATTTCTTTGCAAGAATACATTGATATTATGAAATTACAATAATGAGTTGCAGTGCCAAGAGCCACTATCATGCCTGGCATTATGGCCAGACTTAATTTAATGGCTTACATACTACTTAATACTAAAGAAATTTATAATAGTTTGTTTAAGTTGTACATCTTTTTTTGTTCATAGTAGACAGTAATTTTACTCTAAATACAATAGTTTCAATAATGAAAATTGAAATTATATTATGGGAATATAACATTATGAGTTGTTGAAAGTAGTCTACAGTATGAGAATGTTACAATTGTTTTAGGTAGGTATTTATACTACAATATAGTATTAATAATGTATGAGCTTTGGGCATCCAGATTTGAAGTTTTAAGACTTAGGTAATAGGGAGATTTTTGGTAAAGTTAAATATTGAGTATTGAGCATTTGGTTTAGGGTGAGTAGGTGGTTTTTGAGAAGAGCCTTAAATTGGTGTTCAGGCATGGTTACTTTGGTATTTACTGGTAATGAATTCCAAATTTTGGGGCCCTTTATGTTCAAAAAGTTTTTACGCAGTGAGATGTGGACACGGGGTACATCAAAAAGAGATCAGTGTCTTGTGTTGTGATCGTGTGTCCTGTTAAGGTTGGTGAAGAGAAGTTTGAGTGTAGGGTTTATGTTTGAGTGTAGTGTTCTATGTATGTAGTAGGCACATGAATAAGTATGGATGTTCTTAACGGTGAGCAGTTTTAGACTTTTGAATATTGGTGGAGTATGCTGTCGGGAGTGGGAATCTGTTATCATTCTGACTGCAGCCTTTTGCTGGGTTATTAGTGGCTTAGGTGATTTAATGTTGTTGATCCCATGCACAAATTCCATATGTGAGATAAGGGTAGATGAGTGAATGATACAGTGCCAGGAGAGCTGATTGTGGAGCATAGTACCGTATCTTTGATAGTATGCCTACTGTCTTAGAGATTTTCTTAGAAATTAGTTGTATGTGTGTCTGGAATTTGAGGCTACTGTCTATGTGGATTCCTAGGACTTTTCCCTCTGTGAGTCTTGTGATGGGTGATCCGTTTAGCGTTATGTTAAGTGGAACATTTGCAGCTCTGGTTCCAAACTGAATGAAATAAGTTTTGTCAGTATTGAGGGTAAGCTTTTTTGGCATTAATAGTGTTAGCCAGTATGACTGGGTTTGGGTGAGAGAAGATGCATGTTGTGTCGTCTGCAAATAACATGGCTTTGAGTAGCTGTGATGCATTCGGTAGGTCACTGATAAATTAGACACATGTGCAACTCTTGGGTATCTTTATTCAGGAAACGTTTCGCCACACAGTGGCTTCATCAGTCCATACAAAGGAGAAACTTGAAGAGGAGGAGAATGAGGTAATCAGTCCCTCAACCTTGAGTCGATGTGGTCAGTCCATCTCCTTTGTATGGACTGATGAAGCCACTGTGTGGCGAAACGTTTCCTCAATAAAGATACCCAAGAGTTGCACATGTTTCTAATTTATCAACATGTCGGTTCTCTGAACCATTCATCAACAGGTCACTGATGTACAAGGACACTTCCTTGTGGGACACTGACTGTGATTGGCTGGGTGGAAGAGTTTGCTCCATTTGTGTACACATATTGGCTTTTGTTACTAAGGTATGACTTTAGATAGTTGAGGGAGTGCCCTCTTATACCATAGTGTGTTAATGTGCAGCAAATCATGGTCTACTGCATCAAAAGCTTTACGTAAATCAATGAAGATTCCCAGCGGGACTTCTTTCTTCTCGAGAGCAGTATAATAACATCATTTGTGCTTTTATTAGTCCTGAATCTAAACTGACAGGGGTTTAGTATGTTGTGTGAGACGAGGTAGGAATAGATCTGTCTATGAATTAATTTTTCGAAGATATTAGAAAGCAGAGGTAGGTTAGATATTGGTCTACAGTTATTCAAGTCGGTTTGATCACCTCCTTTGTGGATTGGGGTGACCCTCGCTATTTTGAGAATTGCTGGGAAGGCGGAGGATTCGATGGATTTGTTAAAGAGTGTTGCAATAATTGGTGACAATACTTGTGATGCTTTTTTGTACGTAAAAGGTGGTAAGTTATTTATGTCCCCTGCCTTGTTTTAATTAAAGAGTGCTGCTGATGAGCGAGACTTCTGTTGGGTTGGGTGGGGCTAAGAATAGCGTATTCGGGTAGGTGCCCGTGAGGTAAACTGATGAACGGGTGTTTGAGCTTGGGATTTTGCTCACCAGATTCTTTCTATGGTGAGAAGAAAACACTGAGTCTGTTTGGTGTTTCAGTTGGTGGGAGTAGGGGTTCGCCTGATTTTGTTAATTTGATTGTTTTGTTTTTGGATATCTTTTTAGTTCCTAGAATGTCGGATATGGTTTTCCAGGTCTTTTTCGTATCATCTTTTATGTTATGTAATCTGTTTTCATAAGACAATTTTTTTGACCTTATCAGGCTGGCAAAGATTGACGAGTAGCACTTAGAATGATCTCTAGTTATTTGACTCATTCTGTATTGCTTTTCATATAGGTGCTTTGTGGTAATGGATTTAAGGATGCTGGGTGTTAGCCAGGGACTGTTAAGTCTCTTAGATGTGATTTGTTTAGTTTCTTTAGAGCAATGCTTGTTATAGAGGTAGTGTTTTTTTTTAGAAAATTATTAATACATTAATTCATATCTGTATATGTTTCAATCTCATTATGCCAGTCGACGTTATTCATAGTTGTTATAAAGTTATTAACAGCTGTCTCGTTGTGTAGTCTGAAGGTAACTTTAGTAGTGTCTTGAGGCAATTTACCTAGGTTGGTTATGAGAAAGGTAGGGTAGTGGTCTGTGGTGTTGTCTGATAATGCCTGATTTTAAAGGGGATATGGTGTTAGTCCAATGTGGACTAATAAGGAGATACTAGTCTCGGAGATTCTTGTAAGTTTTGTTGTTGTTGGTAGCAACAAGCAGTTACTCATAGTGTTTGTGAATTTGGTTACTTGTGGATCTTGGTCATGTAATAGATTTATGTTGAAATCTCCTGTGAGCAGCAGGTAGTCTTTGTTCAAATGTGCATCAGTTATCATGTTTCCTATCTTTTCACTAAAATGGTAAATATTTGACTGTGGTACTCGGTAGATGTTTATCACTGTGAGGGGTTTTTACAGGTCTTTTGATTTAAATTTAGCTATAATTTATTCTCCATGTTCATCCCTTGTGCAAGAATTATTTGTACATTCAAGTTGATCTAAGTAATATATAGCTGTTCCACCCCCATTGCTATTCTGTCCTACAGTTGTGTATGGCTGTGTAACCAAGAATGGCATAGACATCTGTATACCAGGTTTTAGCCAGCTTTCTGTGAATGTGATGATTGACATACTGGTATGAAGGGAATTGAGTAATGCTGAACCTTCATAGCCGAAATATAAAAATTATCATTTATTTTGTCATAAAAAGAATCAGCCATTAGAAAGAGAAGCTGTGCATACTAAAGTTATTTCATAGAAAAATACCATATTTTAAAAATGTAATTAACAAACTGGCATCTATACACCCAATAACAATACAACTTCTAATTAGGACACACTAGTGTTGAAAGTTTGAAACCGATCAGATGAGGCTTTCTGAAACCAATCAGAGGAGGCTATCTCAACTTTTCACATGGAAACCAAAATCGGAAATCATCTATATAAAACTGAATAGATTATACTTCCACATGGTAATAGTTCCATTAACATTTCACAAATTATAGTTCTGCAGTGCTGAGAGTTTGAAGCCAATCTTCTTTTCTTCCTCCATAGGAGGAAGAAAAGAATTGAACCCGTATGTTGAAAATGGTATAAAATACCGATAAGTTGATGAATAAGACACATGTGCAACAGCATCTGCTATAAAAATTCAAACTACGATTTTTTTTTATGCTGGACAGCTTGGCAAAAACTCCTAAATGCAAAGTCCTGTAACGAAGAGACAAGAAATAAATCTTTTGTGTTTAACCATGTAAAATATTTTTTTTACAATCAACGTTGTTTTTCAGATTGTGGAAGACTTGGAGAATGTGGAGTTGGCTTACCTGGATCTGGACCAGGTTTTCAGTGAACCTCCACTCAAGTCATGGCATATCCAACGTCTCTGGCTCTATAATGAAGGTAATGCATATACATTGCATGCACACACATGACAGGAAAAAACAGGAAAAGCACTACAGTGAATTAAGAAATACCCGACTAGTATTTTCTTTTATTGGAGTTTCTATGACATGTAATTGACAGAGTAACTACAAGTCAATCGTAGCGGATATATGAGCTTAAGTAGGTTTAAAAATGTAGTGTTAGAGTGTTCAGCAGAAGTTTGTGGTTACAGGAAAGTGGGTGCGGGAGGGAAAGAGGAGCGATTGGTGGAATGATGATGTAAAGAGAGCAGTAAGGGAGAAAAAGTTAGCATATGAGAAGTTTTTACAAAGTAGAAGTGATGCAAGGAGGGAAGAGTATATGGAGAAAAAGAGAGAGGTTAAGAGAGTGGTGTGAAGCAATGTAAAAAGAGAGCAAATGAGAGAGTGGGTGAGATGTTATCAACAAATTTTGTTGAAAATAAGAAAAAGTTTTGGAGTGAGATTAACAAGTTAAGGAAGCCTAGAGAACAAATGGATTTGTCAGTTAAAAAAAGAAGAGAAGAGTTATTAAATGGAGAGTTAGAGGTATTGGGAAGATGGAGGGAATATTTTGAGGAAATGTTAAATGTTGATGAAGATAGGGAAGCTGTGATTTCGTGTATAGGGCAAGGAGGAATAACATCTTGTAGGAGTGAGGAAGAGCCAGTTGTGAGTGTGGGGAAGTTCGTGAGGCAGTAGGTAAAATGAAAGGGGGTAAGGCAGCCGGGATTGATGGGATAAAGATAGAAATGTTAAAAGCAGGTGGGGATATAGTTTTGGATGGTTGGTGCAATTATTTAATAAATGTATGGAAGAGGGTAAGGTACCTAGGGATTGGCAGAGAGCATGCATAGTTCTTTGTATAAAGGCAAAGGAGACAAAAGAGAGTGCAAAAATTATAGGGGGATAAGTCTGTTGAGTATACCTGGTAAATTGTATGGTAGTTATTATTGAAAGAATTAAGAGTAAGACGGAGAATAGGATAGCAGATGAACAAGGAGGCTTTAGGAAAGGTAGGGGTGTGTGGACCAGGTGTATACAGTGAAACATAAAGTGAACAGTATTTAGATAAGGCTAAAGAGGTCTTTGTGGCATTTATGGATTTGGAAAAGGCGTATGACAGGGTGGATAGGGGGGCAATGTGGCAGATGTTGCAGGTTATGGTGCAGAGGTAGGTTACTGAAAGCAGTGAAGAGTTTTTACGAGGATAGTGAGGCCAAGTTAGAGAAATGTGGGAAAGAGGGAAATTATTTCCCAGTAAAAGTAGGCCTTAGACAAGGATGTGTGATGTCCCCAAATGGTTGTTTAATATATTTATAGATGGGGTTGTAAGAGAAGTAAATGCGAGGGTTTTGGGCAAAAGGCATGGAGTTAAAAGATAAAGAATCACACAAAAAAGTGGAGTTGTCACAGTTGCTCTTTGCTGATGACACTGTGCTCTTGGGAGATTCGAAGAGAAGTTGCAGAGTTTGGTGGATGAATTTGGTAGGGTGTGCAAAAGAAGAAAATTAAAAGTGAATACAGGAAAGAGTAAGGTTATGAGGATAACAAAAAAGATTAGGTGATAAAGATTGGATATCAGGTTGAGGGAGAGAGTATGGAGGAGGTGAATGTATTCAGATATTTGGGAGTGGACGTGTCAGGGGAAAGGGTCTATGAAAATGAGGTGAATCATAGAATGATGAGGGGAAAAGGGTAAAGTGGTGCACTTGGGAGTCTGTGGAGACAAAGAACTTTGTCCTTGGAGCAAAGAGGGGAATGTATGAGAGTATTTTTTTTTATAAAACACTCTTATATGGGTGTGAAGCATGGGTGATGAATGTTGCAGCGAGGAGAAGGCTGGGGGCAGTGGAGATGTCATGTCTGAGGGCAATGTGTGGTGTGAATATAATGCAGAGAATTCGTAGTTTGAAGTTAGGAGGAGGTGCGGGATTACCAAAACTGTTGTCCAGAGGGCTGAGGAAGGGTTGTTGAGGTGGTTCGGACATGTAGAGAGAATGGAGCGAAACAGAGTGACTTCAAGAGTGTATCAGTCTGTAGTGGAAGGAAGGCGGGTAGGGGTCGGCCTAGGAAAAGTTGGAGAGAGGGGAAAGGAGGTTTGTGTGCGAGGGGGTTGGACTTCCAGCAGGCATGCGTGAGCGTGTTTGATAGGGGTGAATGGAGACAAATGGTTTTTAATACTTGACGTGCTGTTGGAGTGTGAGCAAAGTAACATTTATGAAGGGGTTCAGGGAAACCGGCAGGCCGGACTTGAGTCCTGGAGATGGGAAGTACAGTGCCTGCACTCTGAAGGAGGGGTGTTAATGTTGCAGTTTAAAAACTGTAGTGTAAAGCACCCTTCTGGCAAGACAGTGATGGAGTGAATGATGGTGAAAGTTTTTCTTTTTCGGGCCACCCTGCCTTGGTGGGAATCGGCCAGTGTGATAATAAAAATAATAAGTATTTACAATATAAAACTCCCAGAAGATGGCGGTGGTCTTACGATGGCGCCAGAAGAATGACATACTCGTCTACTGTTGTAATCAAAATGAAAGTACATTCAGCTTATGTGAGTTATATATTGCCGTAAACTACCATGTTAGGGACGCTTTTGGTCTGAGCCGTCGCTTTCATCCTTAAAATACTTTCCTTGACATCTGGCACTTGAGGTTGCGGCCTGGCTGGGGCTTCCCAGTCTTTCCTGGGTGGATTGTGTCCCTTGACACACATGATTGGGCTCTTCTGCACTACATTTTTCTCATTGATTTGCTCTTGAAAAAGTAGTGCAGTTGCAACGTGAAAGTTCTGAGCAACATCATTCTCCCCCTTGTGGTTGATATATTATATATAAAATATATATTTATATATATATATATATATATATATAAAATATATATATATATATATATATATATATATATTTATTTATATATATGCATGCTCTCTGCCAATCCCTGGGTTTACCTTACCCTCTTCCATACATTTTTTAAAACAATTGCACCAACCACTCCAAAACTATATCCCCACCTGCTTTTAACATTTCTATCTTTACCCCATCAACCCCGGCTGCCTTACCCCCTTTCATTTTACCTACTGCCTCACGAACTTCCCCCACATCACAACTGGCTCTTCCTCACTCCTACAAGATGTTATTCCTCCTTGCCCTATACACGAAATCACAGCTTCCCTATCTTCATCAACATTTAACAATTCCTCAAAATATTCCTTCCATCTTCCCAATACCTCTAACTCTCCATTTAATAACTCTCCTCTCCTTTTTTTAACTGACAAATCCATTTGTTCTCTAGGCTTTCTTAACTTGTTAATCTCACTCCAAAATTTTTTCTTATTTTCAACAAAATTTGTTGATAACCCTCTCACCCCGGGCTTGAGTCCTGGAGATGGGAAGTACAGTGCCTGCACTCTGAAGGAGGGGTGTTAATGTTGCAGTTTAAAAAATGTAGTGTAAAGCACCCTTCTGGCAAGACAGTGATGGAGTGAATGATGGTGAAAGTTTTTTCTTTTTCGGGCCACCCCGCCTTGGTGGGAATCGGCCGGTGTGATAATAATAAATATATATATTATATATATATATAAAATATATATATATATATATATATATATATATTAATATATATAATAATATATATTATATGGTGGAGGATGTGGCCTCAACAATGCTTTGGAGTGTGTCAGGGAAGGATGGAGCCCGCCTCCTGGCAGTGAGAGCACCTCATGCAGGGGATTTTCTGTTGGCTGTTCCCAGCTCCAGTTTTGGCACACGCCTCGACCCACAGACCGTCCGCATCGGTGTTGCCCTTCGACTTGCCGCCCCTATTCTCGCCGAACACAGGAGTGTTTGTGGCAGTGAAGCAGCAGACCGATTCGGGTACCATGGTCTTGTGTGCTGTAAATCCGAGGGAAAGATTGCAAGACATGAGGTTAATAACATTATCAAGAGGAGCCTCACAACAGCCGGATGCCCAGCAGTAAGGGAGACACCTCAGCTATGCAGATCTGATGGCAGCCAGAAGCGTCCAGATGGTATCACCCTTCAAGCCTGGACAGATGGGAAGCAGGTGGTGTGGGACTATACAAGTGCATCTACCTTGGCTGATACCTATCTCCAATATACCAGGGAGGAAGGAGGGGCAGCTGCCAGCTTCAGGGAGTCCCAAAAGTCTAGAAAATATGGAGAACTTGCCCATCATTATATGTTTGTTCCCATAGGCTAAGAGACCCTTGGCTCATGGGGAAAGAATGCATCTAAATTCCTTAAGGAGCTGGGAAAAAGACTCAGCAGGGTAACTAGGGATCCCAGGGCAGCTAGTTTTCTGTTCCAGCGGCTCAGTGCGGCTGTTCAAAGGGGTAATGCCTGCTGTATTTCGGGCACACGCACCAGCTCTGAGGAGCTGGATGAGATTTTCGACTATAAACGGTGATACACACGTAACAACATGTACCGTATATGCCACCTTTATATCAACAATGTATCTCTTAAATCTTTTGTACCATATTATGTAATAAAATATTCCTACTGGTAAAAAAAAAAATATGAAAAGATGGGGTGGTAGGGAAAGTGGAATATTCAAACGGCTTCAGGAAGAAATCCAAATATTCATCCTTGAAGCCTTTTTATCCACTTTTCCGAGGCTATGGGTCCCACAATTTACACCAGAGGTGGACCCCATCCTATATATATATATATATATATATATATATATATATATAATATATATATATATATATTATATATATATTATATATATGTCGTGCCGAATATGTAAAACTGGTCAATTAGCAAGAACTCATATAAAATTAAGTTCTTTCTGAAATTTTCTCGTATACGTTTAAAGATATATTTTTTTCATTAATGTTAATGTAAAAATTTTTAATTTTGCACCAAAAGAATCTTAGAAAACTTACCTAACCTTATTATAACAAGAGCAATTTATTTTAGCCTAACCCAACTAAATATATTTTAGATTTGTTTACAGTAATTTAATACTAAACAAACAC